TTAGTAACATTTCTACATTAATTTTGTTTCTTATTAAACCGCTGAGTTTTTATTTCATTATTTTTTTTTTACTTTTCTATTAACAAAATTAATTAAGGATCATAGGCATCAATAACATTTTGGCAGTTTTTTACAATGATCTTTTACAATGTATTAAAAAATGTGTTTTTCATGGAGAATGGTCAAATTTGAGCTCTTTAAAGTTATTTTTATTTTCAGCTTGTTTCAAAACATCACTGGAGCTCCGAGTAAAATAATTTTTCTCACAATTGCGAAATTTGTTTACGCAAAGTTAATTCAAAAATTTTTTTATTATGTAAATTTAATATTTTAATGATATTCAGTTTCTTAATACTATACAGTTTTTTTTAATGATATTTAGTTTTTTAGTGTTTATAAATTATTTTTAACTCAATTAGTTACTTATAACTCAAGAAGAAGTGCCTGACTATGCCTATCTATGTGATTTAAATCAGATTAATCAGATACCTGTCAGCGACGTCACTAGTGGGTCGCACCTAATTGGTTTTGAATCGAACAAATGCCATTGTTTACCTACGGCCTTGCAGACATCCAATTGCATCTTCTTAAGCCTGGCATATCCAAATACTGCCGGTGAACCAAAAAACAGCAAACACCACCAATTGTTCCAAAAAATATGTTTATTCAGAGATAGAAATTTCTTATGCCCGATTTCGTAACTTAAAATATCATCTACTTTAACTAATTACCATATTTAAAGTTTACCCCAGAGTGATCAAAATCGCATGTTCGTACTCAAAAATAGGAAAATCCAAAGTTAATCAGGCGTACCTTTTTTTCACCTTAGGCGTACTGCACAGTTATGTTTAACCAAGAACTCATTTCTAGATAAAAAAGAAAATATTCGGGAAAGAAATAAAAAGATTGCCATCTATTAAACCATTTGCTCAAAAATTATATTTTTCTCACTTTTCTCATTTAAAAATATTTTTTTATTAAAATTACAACTACTTCTGTATGCTTTTTAACACAAAAAAAAAATCTATAGGCATCTTATCTTATTAAAAAAATAACATTTTAATAGTATTAGGTGTACCAACTAATCTCAGTATTACTCTGTATTCATACATCTCATTATTTTAATCACATTATATTATCAAACTTTTATTGTGTAACAACATATAGCCAAAACACCATTTTGATACATCTTACTTATTTAAAAGCAATGTTTTAAAATGAAAAAAAAATGTTTAAAGTCAATAAATGATAAAGTTATAAAGCCTTAATAATCATCAAACACATTGCACCAAGACTGATAAAACCAAAGGAATAAGTTCACTTACACCTGGGAAAATCATACTATTTAATTTTAGTAGTGCAATAAAAGTAAGGAAATCCATTTATTCTAACTTAAAAAACGCGGTCACTGGAGCTTTATACAAATGTGCTTTTGCTTTTTTTAAGAATATTCCTGATGTATTACATTAATCCTTATTTATTAACATTATTTACAAATTGAAAGAATCTTGATTTTTTTTTCTGTGGGAGAAAGTCAACTGCTTTAATTTCCGTGAGCACGCGAATCATTTTGGGTGGCTGACTTTTTCTGCAGATGTTCCCAACATCGCGTGAGAGCTTTAGCAAAAATATATCACGATACAGGGACTTTCACTTATTGTCTCTTCTTCCAAAAGAGACATTATTTTCTCAGTTGTTGCTGGCAATAGTTATAATTAAACAATCGATAACTTACAAATGTCTAGACTTAAAGATAGGATTCTATTAATTTTTGCTTTTGATTCTGTCATTGAATTACGAATGGAAAGTAGTTGAATCAATGCTCTTTACTGTCATTCGTCAATATTACGCCTTGCTACTAATTTACTGATTCGTGTTATTAATAAATTTTTTCCCTAACATTTTGCTTTTCCTACCTTGAATATTTTTTTACATTAACATTTCGTATATTAATATTTTATATGTTTGTACTTCTCCTAAATAATATTTTTCTACATAAATATTTTTCATTTTAATATTTTATATAAATGAACTTTATATTGAAGATAGTGCAGAAAATTTAGAATATTTGAAAATCTGAGTTAAGTTTGAGAAGGCTTATTCTATGATATGCCTTACAAGTGCACGAATGCTATCGACTGTCTATAAAGTTGTAATCAGCAAACAATTGAATAAAGAATCATTATAGCATATAATATATTTTTTTAATTGTTGGCAATGGTTGGCATTAGATTTTATAGTTGTGTTCCTATATTTAAATTATGAATGGAAAGTAGTTAAATTAATTTTCTTTACTGTCTCTCAAAATTATTAGAATATTTATATACTTTGCCACCATACTGCTTATATATTAATAACAAGTTTTCAATCTTTTGTTTTTATTTTTAGATCAATATTTTATGTAAATTGACTTAAATTTGAAGAATTTACTGAAAAACAGTGATTTTTCTTTTTGTAAAAAGATATTAGCAATACGTCCTCTTAAAACTATCCTTTCTGTATCCTTAAGAATACGAAAACAAAATATTTGAATAAATATGAAACATTTATTATGAAAAGTCTAAAAAACAATGCAAGCTCTAAAAAATAAGGAAAATCAGTATCTCTTCTATAATTTATAGGGATTAGACAGATATGTGTGCAAAATTATTACATGTAAACTTGCTATAAGAAATCGTTACTGTACACTCCTCTATCCTTTTTCTCAGTACTCTATTTTTAGAAACATATATGAGAAAAGCGTCGCATAATTTTGACCACGGTCAATCACGTAATTAATATTTGAGCTGTTTTTCGCTTTCGTAAATTCCACATCATATTAACAAAGACGATTTAAAGCAAAGATGCACTTGAATTTGCATTTTGCTGCCAATAGCCGCCAGTTCTTTTATCGGACTCCATGTTTGAATCCACGAACACTAACCTTCAACTAAGGACGTGTGCTGTTCCCAGTAAAAATTAAGCAGTATTTTAATATCATGATCCTCATTTTATTTATGTTTAATGATCAATTTATTTATTTTTAACTAGTTCTTATAATTTACCAGGATTAAATGTTAATATTTTATAAGTATAGTCAGTCTCTCACGAGATGAATGGCTGTCTGCTCTGTTTTCATTCATGGATTGACAAACTATAATAAAAAAGATAAATCTATCACAGGGTCTATTTTTATAACTTTATCAGTCGCATCAATTAATTTACCTCACGTAGAAGGAAATACAAAGTGCTAAACAATAAATCAATTTCAAGCCATCTATCTGAATGAGAGGATATTTCATTTATTTATTTTCTTAACATATTTTTTCCTTTGTTTTTTGTCTTACATGTAACTTATGTAAAAACCTATCACTTTTTGAGCAACTGTACAGTAAGATTATTGATTTAAAATTCAAGATATTTATAATTTAAATGTAATGCGTTTATTTCAAATCACCAAAAAATACATTTATACACGCACCTAAAAAAGGAAATTTTAACTGTCAATGGATGATGCATTGAATTAAAATTGATACTATTATAAATGAGTTGAGGTTCATTTATTGAGATGCATCTAAATAAAATTGATTTTTTATAAGTAGAAAATAGTGCTTTTTTCTCCACAAAATTTAATTGTTTGATTTGCTTAAACTATACACCGAAAAAACGATATGAATAATTTCAATCATTTTTTTTAAATCCTTTGTGATTAGTTATAAAAATAAAAATTTTTTGAAAAATAAAAACTAAATATGTTTTTAAAATATATTGAATAAAACTCATTTCGTTTGGATATTGTAGTGTTTGATTAGCTAATTTAATGTTTTTCTTTTCGTATAACTGTAGCTGATTCCTAAAGCAGTCTTAAATATTATCCAAATAATATTAATAACACACTTTTTTACACAGGTGAAACTAGAATAAATAAATTAGAATTAGAGTAATATAGTAACAATGGAAATTAGAATTAGAATTAGTTAAATTATTCACTACTCTGAAACAGCGGATTGAACAGTAAACTTTGATATGACGATATTGGATACTTTCATCCAATTCTGATTCAAGAAATCGACCAGTTCAATTTCCGGTTATCAACTGACAATGCAGTGTAAAAAATTTCCGATACTATGTTTGACTCGCAAAGAATGTCTCCGAAAATCTCAACGAACTTCATTTAATTCCATGTTTCCGAAATTGAGTTAATATGGAAATATGATAGTTGTTGTTGCTGATCTCGGAATCGTCTAGCAGCGCTAGACAACTCCCATGAATCCGAACACCTCCAAAAAGTTCATAACAAGACTGAAGTCTCGCAGGACCTCATCTTTACCGAACCCCAAACAAGTCATAATATGCGTAGGGGAGGCCATGTCTGTTGAGCACCAATGACATTCAGGATAAGTTTTTTGGCCCCGGTTGAAAGTAAGGGATCTAGTGTGGGCACTCAAGAAGCGTGAAAAGGCAGTTTGATGGGCTTTCGGTCTAAGATTGAAAGATTCTCCCGGTTTTTTTACAAAATACCAAGAGTGGTTGGGAGGAGTTCTTATGGTCTTGTTTAATTTAATTTTTGCCAGGGAAGAAATTTCACTAAAGGTAAGCTTCCCACAATGATCAGTGTCTTCTTCGGCAGCGGATTTGACCAGGAAGTCAGCCCTCTCATTCCCATCAACCCCAACATGTGAGGGAATCCACTGAAAGTGTATAGAATGGTCGTGCGATGCAGTATCAATGTCAGTAGTAGCCGGATTAATGTGAGGAGAATTTGAGCAGCTTCAATTGACCCGAAAGTCTAGGGCACCAGAAGGAGAAGACTGACTTAGCTCTGAGTACCTGCAGACTTTAGCTGAGCATGGAAATATGGTTAATATGGATAAACTAAAGTTAATATGGAAAAAATCTCAATATTAGAAAATCAAAATGTTTGTGAAATTTAACTGAGACTTTTTGTGCAGTAGGAGTGTGTTGTATTTACACATCTATAATTTTATTATGGTAAATCTTTCCTTTTGTATTTTTGACAGATGGTGCTGCTTCAGGATCCCACAGCCGGTGATCCTGTTGATATACTCCGTGCCAAAAGAGCCCAAGAAAAGAAATATGTTTTTGACTGGGCATTTGACGAAGATTCGACTCAAGTATGTCTAAGGAATTCTAATTTTTCTAATGAATGATTATCATACATTGATAATTAATTGTTTATTGCTTTGAAACAAACTCTAGGTACCAGTGCTTCTAGATTTTACTTTACACCATGGTTTTATCAATTCAGTTTGAATTAAATAATATATTTTAGTTTAAATGTAGCGTAAGATTTACAGGTTTTCTGTCTAAGGTTAATTACAATATTATGCTTAAAACTCATTAACAAGGCCTACTCCGTAAGAAACATACGGTGTCAAGCAGGCAGTTGAGTTATTTGCAGAAAACTGTAAAATTTAATCCGTAAATTCGTAGCCAAAGGTTTTTTTATCATGCAAAAACAAGTTTTTTCCTTAAAGATTTCGAAAAAAATCCGTGATTAGACTGCTTTTAACGTAACAAAACAGTTTTTAGAACAAAAATCAATCAGTTGTCTCAACAGACTTCTGCCACATGAAAACAGATTTTTTCTATGAAAGCAAATCAGTACTTGTACAAGTTGTAAATATTTTATGTCTGTAAAATTTGTATCGATCAGTCAGCGATGGGATTTGAACCTGGGTCACTTCATGGGAGGGGTGTATGGTCTGTCCGCTGAGCCACTGTGATTCAAGTGTTTTAATTTAAAGAAATTGTGATTGACGAAATTTCTTTTCAATTAAATATCAATTTGACAATAAAGTCGAATCGCAGTTTTATTTATACGATGTTTAAAACCATAAAGTAATTGCTATAAAGTAAGTACAAGAATAGAAAGAATCGTAAAATAATTAGAGAAAAGGCAAAGTTATAATACGGAAAACTCAACGGGAGCTCTAAATTGCAGGTCAAAAACTAGAATTTCAACTGACGGTTTTAATGTGTTTGTGATTAGGGTGAAAAACGGAGAAAAACAGTTTTATCAACAGAACTTTAAACCGTTAAATGTACAGAGAAATAGAGAAAAAACAACGGATATGTTTTAGAGGATACTTATTTTCAATTCAAAAGAAGTAGTAGTATGTTAATTGCTTGTTTGTTAATTGTCTTCTACCACCTGTGAGAAGTCTTTGTTATTCTTCCATCATCTCTACTCAAAATATGTATTCATTCCTTAATCTGTTAATTAAAGTCAGTGAGTAACTCAATATTTTTTTCACAATATCATCTGCTCAAATTATTTATTTAATATAGTCCTAGGCGAATATTTTTTTTTTTACTTCAGCTTCCAACTTTTCGATAATTATTTGCTCAATTTATATAAATCAGGTTAAGAATAAGTAAAAAATGTCATATAGGCATATGCATATTTAATTTTGGTATAAACAATACTTTTATCACTCTGAATGATTAAAAGAATTTATCAGTAGCATTAATGAATATTAATCTGAAGAGAAATAAAAAATGAAAATGAAAAATCAAAAGTTAATAAATAAGAAAGACAATTAGATCCATTTAAACGTAATAAATTTAAAAAAGGACTTCTTGATGAAAATGTGGTAAACATATATTATTTCTCCTAAGTTCCTTTGTAACTAGAACCTAACTGGAACTAAAATATACTTCCCTTGAAGTGGGGGTGGGGCAAGGACACTTCCACGAGTCGATGACCAAACGACATTGTTCTTGATTTCCTAAAATAGGGGTGGAGTCAAAATGTCACGGAAAGTAAAGAGAAAGTCTATTTTACAAGCTGCGCTGAATTTCTTGATACTTGTACAAAATACATTTTTTCCTCTTTTAATTTATACGTCGAGAAAGTTAAGGAATAAATTCCTTTTTAATTAAAAATGCATTTTTTCTCTGTTCCCCCAATATTTAATCAAATCTCGTATATTTTTGTAAATAGCTGCATGGAAAAATAATTTCTGGAAAAATTATCGTTCTTGTATGGTAAGGACATTTCGAGTGACCAAAACCATAATTCTGGTAATAAAATTAAAATATGAGATATTTTCATTTGGTAATTTTTCTGTTACTATGATAATGGCTTACCGGAAATTCTACTTTTCACAATTATAGTTTTTATTACTCCACATTTAGTAAAAATACACGACTAAAAAGTTAAATTAAAAGTTTATTATTTTCATAAATAATTTTTGCACATTTATTATCAAACAGCATTGTAATAAAACCATATTTTTTAATTTTACTGAAAGGCATAAGCAAAGCGCTTCGGAAAAATTTACCGTGCTTTTTGATGTTTTCATACAGTCGTTCTGGTAGTTTTGCCTATACTTTCTTCTCACTGTGGGAGTTAAGCAAGACCTTTAATTTACTATTTATTTTTCTTTATTTTAACCAAAATAATGCGAACTAATAATTTTGTTAAAAATTTGATAACAATAACTATATAATTATTATTTTTAAGAAAGAGCGGAAATTAAAATTTAATTTTTAGCAATTTCTTTTTTTATTTTATTTCTTTTGTTCGATTTTATTAAATTTTTTTTTTAAATAAAATTATCTTGGCTATGCATTCGTTTCTGAGCTAACAGTCAGTGGTTTCTTTTTTGTTTATATCATTTTTTAAATTCAGAAATGCATAAATCTAAAAACACGACTTGTTTCTTATTGCACAAAACTTTAAAAATTAGATAATTAGAATTATCTTTTAGCAGTTACTTCTGACAGTTAATTTTTAGCTGATAATTTTTAATCTTCAGCTGACTAAGTTTTGTAAAATTTACTGATTCTCGAACTTTTGTTTGATTTTTTTACAGCAATCTAGCTATCCCATAATTGTTTTTATCTAGTTCAATGATATATCTTATTGATATATAAGAATTTTCTAATAACTTTTATCAGAAATACTTAGCAGGTACATTCATAAATAAAAAGCATTAGAATAGATATTCAAAGTGGAAATTTTATTTAGTCTAAATCGCTATTTATTAAAAAATAAATAAAATAAATGTAGATTTTGTTGGTTGAAATATTGGTAAATAATTTCCAACCAAATACTAGCTTTAACAAGTAATGTTACAAAAATTATGTAAGTAATGTAACAAAAAGTTCACTTTTTGGTCATATTATTTAACACTTAATTTATATTAGGCAAATATATGCTTTGTTTATCGATAATGTCTAAACTTTATTTTAAATTTAAAAAAAATCTTCTTCCACCAGCATGACAGCCTAGTATAGGCCAGAGCCGTCCCAACTATTGGGCACCATCTGGCTCGATCAGACACTAGGTTTCTCCATTTATTTATTCCATGGTTTTAAGATCTTTTTCCACAAAATCAATCCATTTCGTGTTTGGTCTTCCCCTTTTCCGGTTGCCTGTAAACTTCCCAAAAGTCAGCTTCTTAACTGGGTCAACATCATCCTTTCTATAGATGTGACCCAGCCATCTTATTCCATAGAATTTAATAACTGAAATTATGTTTGGTTGCTTAAATTTTCTGTATAATTCATAATTGTACTGAATCCACCAAACACTTTTTATTTCACAGCTCCGAAGATGGCTCTGAGTATTTTTCCTTCAAATATTGGTAATTTATTTCCTCAGTTTTGTTTAAAGGCCATCATTCACTGCCACAAAGTAATGCGATCTAACTGGACTATTACATAAATTAATTTTAGTTTTAATGGAAATAAACTTCAATTTCAGTTGGTTTCTCATTCCAAGATAACATTAATTAGATATCGTTTTCCTGTTTTTAATTTCTATTTTGATATCATTATTAACTGTAACAATTGTCCCTAGGTATTTGAACTAACAGCAACCTTCAAATGTATAATCATTAGTTCACGAGAGGCAAAACCTCAAAATTTCGATTGCTGATTACCATAAATTTGATCTTATCCTGATGGTTAAACCAAATGTTTAAGCAGATGCCTCAGCTTGTTAAAAGCCTCTGAGACAGCCTGTTTCGTAAGTCCTAATAAATCAATATCATCTGCATAAGGCAATATTTGAACAGACTTTTGAATAATTGTTCACCTAGTATTTATATTAACATATCTAATTGCTTTTTCTAATGCAAAGTTGAATAACATGCAAGAGGAGGTGTCTGAATGTCTGAAACATTCTCTGCTTGTAAAATTGGTTTGATAGTTCAGACGTAAACTTTATTCAATTTTACAAGATTAATTAGTTTATATGAGATTCTAAACTAAATCATAGCATCGAAAAACCTTTCTCTAATGATGAAGTCGTAAGTCGTTAAAAAATTGTTAAAAAAATGGTAGATACCAATATTGCATTCTTTTTTTTCTTCAAGGATTTGTCTAAGATATTGAATCTGCTCAGTACTAGCTTTTCCCTTTATGAATCCATATTGGTACTATCCAATAATATTTAAAGTATAAGAAGCAAGTCGGTCATGCAATACTTTAGAGAAGATTTTAAATGCCACATTGAAAAGCGTAATGCCTCCATAATGAATGGCATTTCAGTTTGTCATCTTTTTTAAAAAGTAGAGCAAATGATACCTTCTTCCCATTCAATGAGAATTTAAATTAGCGCAAAAAATTACACAAAATTTTTTTTTTTTTTGTGATATATTAAAATTCAATCATGTATGTAACTAACTGCATTCAATTTATATAAATTAGATACGGTTTTCAATGTATTTTTACTCTGAATAGATTAAAACCAACCACGAAACGTCAAGACTAATTTTAGAGTCGATTTTATGAGCGTTTTATGTAAAAAAACACAATTTTGTACTGGTACATTTTTATGCGTCTTTTATTGCTATCTAAACAAGTGAGGTATTGTTTTTTATCTATCTTTTTACGCTGAATTGAATGCATCCAAACACGAGTCAATAAGACTAATACTGAAGACTTTGCAAGGATTTTTATGTATTATAAAATACTATTTTTTATTTGTACCTATTTCAGTATTTGACTAAGCTATTTAGATACTACAGCATGGTACAAATATCACTAATATTAATAAGATGTTAAATTAAACTATGTTTCCGGTAATTTCGAATCATTACTCTCGTGTAATCATGAACAAAAATAAGCTAAAGCTTTTAACAATTTGATTAATAATTCATGCACACACTCTCTCACAAAATTGGTTCAAATTTCGAACATATTATCAGTGAATTGAACCATAATATAAAGCAAATTAGCAGCAACATTATTAAAGTGTTAAATTAAACTTTGTTACAGTTCAAATCACACCATAACATCGTGTAACCGAAATTAATTTCTTCGATAATATGAACTAGATTATGGTTTGAAAAGCTCAAAATTTCTGATATGTAGTGAAATGACACTGTTTTTGGATTATAGGCATTATATAATACACTTTCTTTGAAATTTTAAAAAGAGATAATAGTGCGAAACAATTATGTAAAATGTTTTGTTTTGTCTGGAAATCGAGGCCAAAACAAATGTCAGAGCATAATAAAGTAGTAAATGTCTGAGAAATGTGAAAAAAAGGAAATTAAATATGTAATGAATCGTATACACGCAAGTAATCGCGTGTGAATAAAATACGATTTTTCAAAAACTGACCTTCCATAAATTCTAATTCGAGGTTAGTTATATTTTGACCGGGTTATCATAATTTACAGGGAACTATAAAACTAAATTTTTATCCTAGTTTTTTCGTTTTTCTTCTTGAAATATATCAAGGTTGTGTTAGTAGAACCATTGAACTTGAATGATAGTTTCCTTAATGTTCTGATAAGAGAGTTCTTTTAAAGGATATGCCCATATTTTTTTTTGTCGAGTTCTTTTTTCTCAGAAGGTTTACTTAATGAATTATTAAGAATGTTTACATGATATGTAAATACAACTTGCATTTTTCAAATATGCAAGCTTGAAATATAAAATTCCTTAATTTTTATAGATGTAAGAAAACAAAGACATTTTTAAGGCTAAAAATAATATATTTTTAAAAATATTTTATTCAAGAACTTTATTCTTTAAATAAAAACAGCCTATATTTCTTTGATGCGTGCCCCAGCATGTGATTAACTCAGGTAAACGTAATTACAACGAAACCAAATGATCTTTCCCTTTATTTTCTTTGTTTTCATTATTTTTTTTTAATGTTAGTATCCTAACTATAAGTACGAAATAATTTTTTCGTTTTGCGCCGTACAACCTCTTCTGCTTTTTATCTTGTTTTTAAACTTTTCGTTGCATAAAAAGACCCTTTAAGCAGGCATGATTAAAAAAAGGAGAAAAAAAAGCTTTTCCGTGCGTATAGCAGCTTTACAACCTCTAGCCACACTTATGATTGCACTTTCTTTTCTTTCATTTTTTTTATTATTGTTTAAACTCAAATTACAATGCTGTTTGATTTCATTGCAGTGAGTATGTACTAACGTTTAAGTTTAGCTTTAATGTTTCCACTTTGGACCCTTTTGCAATTAAAATCTAATCATCCAAGTTACCTCAAGTTGAATTTAAAGTATAAAAACTATTTCGCCAATTTAAGTTACATTGATTTCATTTTGGTTATTCTACAAAAATGCAACGTGAAATGTAATGTGAAATTGTTTTTCTTTCCTAATATTTAGTTATTTTTGGCCACCAATTATGTATTTAAAATCGTGGTAAGTAATTCATTTAACGATAAAGTACGAATTATTTTTCAGCGCTCATTAATTAATAGATATCTAAATGGTGCCCAAGTATGTACTTGTCTATAAACGTCTGAACCTGTTTATAATCAAGATTTAGATTAAAATAATACAACTCTTATTTTTAATAAGTCAAAGTTTTATTTCGTTTCATGAAAATTTAATCATTTAGAAAAAAATTAACAATCTTCACTGTAAAAAATGGATAGTCAAATATCGCGAAGCTTTCTTCTTTTATGACGAAACCGTTTCCTATTGTATGCTCCGAGCGAAGTTTTCGTCAAAGTGACGAAATTACTATCGTCACTTATTCAAGGAAACGAATTTCATCAGGATTAAAAAAAATATTTCGTCATTCTAATTTCGTACTAAAAAAAGTACCAAAAGTATCTAACTTTCCTAATTACTATTTTATCGTGGGCACCATATAGGTGGAGGCACCAAATGGATCACCTTAGCAACACAAGGACAGGTAGAACAGATAGATAAATTACACTCATGCCCCAAATGGGATTCAACCCTGGGATCACCCTGGTAAGAATCCAACTCCTTGACCACCTTACAACCCTTGACCTTCTTGATCACCCTACATACGTTATTTTATTTTCGATATTCTAGTCTTCGTTCTAGTTTCATAATTCCAATTTCGTAATTTTAGTTAACACTATCCCACAAAGCACTACGATGAGGTTTTTTAATTTCGTGACGAAATTATTCTCAAAAGTAACGAAATATAGCTCAAAAATTATTGAATCGTCAAAACCGAGAATTTTATTTCTGAGAGTACAAGGTCTGCAGCCGGATGCAAAAGCAATTGTTGCGCCGATAAATTTAATCTTCAACTAAAAATTGAACTAATACACGTAAGAGTAATCGGTACGTAATTATCACGATATTTAAGAAAATCAATACATTATGTTGTAAAAAAAGAGCTCCTACTCAAAAAAATTTACTAAAAAATCAATCACTTATTTACTCACTTTTAAACTGATGGGAAAACACATAAACTGAAATAAATATATGTTAAGTCACTCATTTAATATTTATTTTCATATATTAAAGTCGTGTCGTAAAAAATGCATGAGAATCGGATTCATTGAACTTCGTTATAACATAAAAAAGAAATCGTAACTAGTTGTGGATTGTCACAGTCAGTGAGTAAGCTGAAAAATCGATATAATTACAACTACTGATAGTTTCACCAGAAAGTGACACAAATATTTAGCGGGTTTCCATGACACAGGGCAATATTTTTCATCATTTATGGTTTTCTAAAAAAGTTTTATACTTAGCAACTTATCATTACGAGAATAAATAGATGTTTACAAGTTTATTGTAATTTTTTTCTTTTGAATATGTGGCATAGTTAAAAAAACAACGCAATCATATTTTACAATAAATATGCATTGCTTGAACAATTGAAAAAAAAATGTTTTGTCATTTTATGAAAAAAATCCATTTTTTTGTATTCTGTCCGTATACGGCCTGAATCATTAAGAATAAGTTTAAAATTTATTATTATTAGTTATAATTAGTTATAGTTTATAATTTATTTATTTTCATATTTTAATACTTATTACTATTATTATTATAGTTTATTTTCATACTTACTACTACTATTATTGCTTCTTCTTTCTTTTTTATTTATTTATTTTGTGAAGTTACTCCAATTCACTGAAGCACAAAGTACTGTTATTTTTTTACACATTCATAAATTAATGAACAGCTTATTATTTAAATTTAAAAAAAAATATTTAGCTTTTAATTTCTTTCCAGATTTCTTTAATTTCTTTCAAAATTTCTTTAATTCTATTCTTCAAATTAAGCCAATTTAATTTGAAGGCATATTTTAGAAAAAACTAAGAAGTTTGAAAATTCTTTCCATGTTATGTTTTCGAAAATCAAAAATATTTTAAAATCCTTTCGATTTATATTTCAGAAAACTAAAAAAAAAAAAAAAAAAAAAAAAAAAAAAAAAAAAAAAAAAAAAAAAAAAANAAAAAAAAAAAAAATTCCTTTCAAAAAATTACATAGATAATATAAAAAATGACACGTGTTGAATAAGTTAAAAAGCTATATTTCCAGCTAGAAGCATAAACAATAAAATTATAAAAATTATTGAGAAAGGCATTTATTACTTTTATTATTACTTCTTCGTTATTTTTTATTTATTGAACTAGTGAAATTAATACAATTCAATGAAACACGATGTACTGTTAATCTCTACACTTACATAAATCAATGGGCAGCTGTTATTTAAATGAAAAATTAATCAGTTATCTTTTAACTTTTTTTCAAGATTTCTTTAATTTAATTCCGCTTGAGGCGAAATTACAAACTGATTTAATTTGAGGAAATATTTTCGAAAACTAAGTAAAATGTGAAAATTCTTTCGTTTCAAAGAATTACGTAGATAATATGAAAATTGACACGTGTTGAGTGAAGCAGTTTTTTTTATAAAGGTGTATTCATTGCAGGAAGATGTTTATGAGAAAACAACGAAAACTCTTGTAGAAAATGTTGTGGATGGATTCAATGGAACAGTTTTTGCTTATGGAGCAACAGGTATGTTTTTAATAAAAGGCGGCTCTAAATACTAATTACTGACAGACATGGATATTATTTTCAAATTTTATAAAACAAGTAATATTTCCTAAAGATGCATGTGTTAGGGGAACCAGAAAACAATGACGTTTTGGCGCATTAAATATTCATTAGTCATAGAAACCAATTCATTTTTTTCAATTCATTTTCGATGCGGCATTGAAAGGTTGTTGCCAGCTAGGGTGAATACATTATTGATTGAAAATAAAATCTTGATAACAAATACCAAATGTACAGAAATGACATTACTTTTCGGTCTCCCTAATACTTATACACAATTCTTAAAAATCATGTTAGATATTTATTTTTAAATATCATGCTAAGGAATTTATAGTACTGTCGAGTGAGCTCAATTCAAAAACGAATCATATTAATAACTTTTGATCTAATGACCAGACTTTTAAATACTATGATATAAGATTAATGGTTTTAGGGACTGTTTAATTTGTGCAGGCGACGATATTTTAAGTTAGGATATCGGACTCAGAAAATATACTTTCTCTGAATAAACATACATTTTTTTCGCTGGATTTGGACTTTTGACTTTTTTTATACAGAGTAATAGCAATCTGGAAAATATGGTCCCGGAAGTCTGGTCAGGAGAGTGGTCGAAATTCGATTACCTTTATAAAGTTCACTCTTTGCACATTTCGTCATATCTCTGAAACTATTTAAGCAAATCAAAAACTTTCTACATGCAACTGTAGAATTCGCTTTTACAAAAAAATTCTGTGATAATAAAAGCTTTTTAAAATTTAATTAAATCTTTAAAATTTAATTTAATTTCAAAATCGAAAACTTTTTGATTAGTAAAGTATACGCATTTTCATCTTATTTTAAATTATGCATTTTTAAATGACAATTACATAATTAAAACTGAATCGGTCCAACTGTTCCATTAAAAATAAATTTTAAGAATATTGCTTTTAAGAAATTTCAAAACCTTTCAGCCGATTTCATTTTTTATTTTTGCATATAAAATTAAATAAGTTAAAATAAGGTAAATTGTTTTCTTTACAGCTCTAAGTGTTGTTGACCATTGCTAAATTAATAAGAAATAGTAAATATCTTATATTATATTTCGTATGAAGTTATCTTAAATTATTTTTAGATGAAAGAGTTTTACAATTGTATGAAAATGTTTCTGATTTCTTTAAACAGCTTCATTGATAAAGCGAAATACCCGAATAGGAAAATTAATATCTAAATTTTTGATGGCTCAAACTTAACTATCGTGACCATATTTTCAAGATTGCAGCTATTCCTATATTATGAGGGTCTATAATGTGTGTTTATTAAAAGATATGTTTATTCAGAGAAAATACGTTTTTGAGTCTGATTTAATAACACAAAATTTCGGCTGTATAAATTTATTAGCACATTTATAATCTATCTTCTTGAACCATTAGAATTTCATTCTAGTACGCAAAAATCTCAAGATCAAAGGTTATTAAGGTAGTCTGCATTTTATTTTATACAGTGTACAAAAGGACCTTTTATACCTTTTCAGAAAACATTCTGTTTGTATGTATTCAAAAATATTTGTATTCTAAAACTTCCATTTGTTATTGTTTCTTAGCCACAAAATAATACCTTAATGATTTATTCGTTATAAAATGTCTTAAGCTATTTTAATTTCATATTTTTGAACTAAATACATATTTTGGAAAATAATATTCTCTACCGTAAATTGGTAGATTTAAGGTAGAGAATATTCTTTTGGCTGCAATTCTTATTTATTTCTACATCGTATTTTCATAAAATATCTTAAAACGTTTTGAAACTGGAAATAATAATATTTTTTACTCCATGGAAATATATAATTTTGCAATAATATAAATTTAAAAGTTTGTTCAAACTAAGGTAGACAACGTTAAAGAGCACAAAAAACACACAGCACACCTTAAGGTAGACCTTTTTAGCACAAAGGTCGCCCACTTGTGTATTATTAAAAGTTTGTTGTCTAAATATTTGATTTGGGTAATTAAATTTTCCCTTTTTGCCCTCGCTAATTTTAAACATAAATACTATAAGTAATAAATTGGGAAATGAAGCAGCAAAACATCAAACTTATTAATGATTGAAATTTATACAATAGGATCCGGTAAGACCCATACAATGGTTGGAGTTGATGATGATCCTGGAATTATGGTACGAGCTTTGAAAGATTTGTTCAAAGAAGTTGATATGAAGAACAAAATATACAACGTTAGCATGTCTTATCTCGAAGTAAGAAAATTTTAAAACGTACAATTTATCTAGAAGAAAGAAAATTTAAAAGTATACAGTTTATCTAGAAGTAGTAAACGTTAAAAATTTACAATGTTAGCATGTCTTATCTAGAAGTAAGAAAAATTCAAAATATAAATAATTCTCATTTATTAGGAGTTTTTTTTAATAAAAAAACATAATGCAATTAAAACGACACTTTGCTTTTTTATTGCTCGCAGTATTGACTTCGGTTAAAATTTAAGTCTTAGAATTTCTTTTAAAAATTTAATTTTTTTGAGTTAATTTTTTGTCTGTTTCAGCAAATATTTGAGTATCATGAAATATTTACAGCACTGTACATTTTTTCTTTCTCTTTAAGCAGCTTAAAGTAATTGAAAATGCTTTTTTTTTAAACATTAAGGCTGAAAAGTATTTATTACATTTTTAGCTGTTTAATAAATTACTTATAAATTTAAAAAAAAATTTCAGAAATTACCAGTTGAATAATTCAAATACCATACATTTTGGAGTTTTTTTTTTTATCAGAAATGTCACTACAGCACGGTAATTTTACGAAAATTTTTTTTTCTCTAGGAAAGCACATTCAATTTCTGATTAAATCTTTTATGAATGTTTAATTCTTATATCTTTTGATAGAAATTATTATATATATATATA